CTTCACATCATGATGATGTCACCACCGTGCTTCACATCATGATGCTGCCTCCACCGTGCTTCTGTTCCACCACTGACTAGACCTCCCAGATAGAGGTGTCTGTATATTACCATCACTAAGACACATTCTCTAACCTCAGATGATTTCTATTTCACTGATTGTGTGACTTCTAGCACCAAATGGCTTCACCTGAGTTCAATTAGCTATCGCTTACGTTATATTTTTAATAAACTGACATTACTTTGTAGAAATCTGTTTTCATTTGACATGAAAGAGTCGTGTTTTGTCGTAAATTCTTGCCAAAAATAAGCCAAAATAATTGACCGGAATTGAATGTTGAAAAGCAAATAAAGAGGGAGAAACTTCCAAAGGGTGTAAATACCTAAACTGTGACTGACTCCACAAACTAAGCTTAGACTCAAAACATCTCTTAAACCTAAATTAATCTCCATCTAAAGCTCTCAGCTGTCGGTTTTTATCAATGCGATGAAACACAAGTTGGATTTAACCTGAAGGTCTGCAGCTGTTCGGCCTCTTCGCCAACATCTTCTTCCTCGGCCAGGCCTTCATCATCATGCTGGTGTACGTGTGGAGTAGAAGACATCCGCTGATCCGCATGAACTTCTTCGGCCTGCTCAACTTCCAGGCGCCCTTCCTGCCCTGGGTGCTGATGGGGTTCTCGCTGCTGCTCGGGAACTCCATCGTGGTCGACCTGCTGGGTACGAAACGTCTGGTGTAGCAGCAGCGTAGTCTGCTCTGATATGAAACGTAGAGTTCAGAAAGGTTGGACCATGAATTAGAGGAAAACATGAAACCTGCAAAGTAAGCCACCTACATTTTCAATTTACAGGCATCTTAGCAGTTCAAATCGATATTAAAAATTCTATATTTTTGATTTTCCCATAAAGAGATGAACACTTTCTACACGTTACCGACCTGGTTTGTTGCTCCAAACTCGTTGGTTTCTCCTGAAGATGTTAAAAAAGAGCTCAAAAATATAAAATTGATAATAATATAAAAACAGAAAAATGCAACATGTGTGGTGAAAACACAACCATAAGGAGATTTAGAGTTTATTATATGGAGCTGCAACGATTAATTGATGAATTATTAAATTAGTCCCAAACTATTTTGATAATCAGTTAATTAACTGGGGCGAGAAAACGTCAAACTTTCAGCTCGTTAAATGTGATTTTTTTTTCTGGTTTCTTTCCTCCTTTCTGACAATGAACTGAACATCTCTGGGTTGTGGACAAAACAAGACATTTGTCATTTTGGATTTTTCGGACATCGACGACATCTGATCGATCAATCGACAGTGAAGGTAGCTGTCAGCTGCAGCTTTAGACGCCACAGAACCATTTCAGCCTCATCTGTCTCCCTCCTCAGGTATCAGCGTGGGCCACATGTATTACTTCCTGGAAGACGTGTTTCCAAACCTGCCTGGTGGGAGGAAGCTGCTGATGACTCCAGAACTCCTGTAAGAACATTCCAGAGTTTATGTCCAGAATTTGATGAAGTCAAGCGAAGCGACTGTTATTTATAAGCACATTTAAAACAGCCAACAAAGACCCAAAGCAGCATCAGACACGCTGTAGGTTTGACACGAGGCTTCAGTTACATTAAAAGTCTTCAGTTTAACTGCTCTTAAAGAAAAGGGGACATCCTTTCAGTACTTATATTTTAAAAATCCATCAAAATACGACGAGAATCAAGCAGCCAGGATGGTGAAAAATGTTTTTTAAAAATCCCACTTTTTTCTATGATTCTACCAGATGTTATCTGTAATTTAACAAAACAGGGAAAATCTGAAATAAATGTGTAATCTGTATAACTTAGTTTTTAAAAAAAAAAACATTTTTCTATCCCAGATAATACATCATTTTTATCTTTTTTTTATTTATTTATTTTTTTAACAAAATATCTGTAAAATAGCAATATTTACTGCTGATTTAAATATGGTTTAAATATGTTTTATTTAAGGGTTAATATAATTTTATTTGGTGTTTTTACTCGACATCATCTGTATTTAACAAAACTGAGAAAGTCTGGAACAAATTTATGTTTTTTTAAAAAACTATTTTTCTGTTCCAAATAATACATAATTTCTCTTAAAACATAAAAAGCAAATATCTCTAAAATAACAATATTTTTTGCTGATTCAAATACAGTTTTAATACTTTTTTAAAGGGTTAACATCATTTTATTTCGTGTTTTTACGCAGCGTCATCTGTAATTTACCAAACTGGGAAAATCTGTAATAAATATGTAATCTGGCTTTGTTTCTTAATCTTATATTTTTAACAAATGAACAATTTTTCTATCCCAAATAATACATAATTTTGCTTTTTTTTAAAACAAACAAAAAAGTAAATATCTCTTTTTTAAATGTAACAAAACTGGAAAAATCTGTAAAAAAAAAAAAAAAAAAAACAACTAAAAAACTAAAAACAAAAACAAAACAAAATAGTAAATTCTTCTAAAAGTATACATGTTTTTACAGTTTAATACCAGAATACTTCCGTTTCTTGTGTATTTATTTTACATTTACTTGCTTTTTCTTCTGTCAATCCAAACATACGGACACATAGTCGTGCAGCTTTAGACTCATTCTTGTGTTTCTGGGGTCGACAGGGAGGTTTCTGTTGTTGGCTTTTGCTCCGGTTAGTGAAATGTGTCTAAATGGACCCAGGAGGAAACCGGGTCGTGGTGCAAACTGCAGCTTGTGTCTTACAAAACTTGACATAAACGTTGCAGAGTTCAGCTGGAACACAGTTGAATCCTAAAGGAGTCTGTCAGCTGAATTTAAAGAAAACTTCAAATGGTTTGTGTTTGCAGACGGATGATGTTCGACCAGCCGGAGGAAGCGAACTACCGCCTCCTCCAGCAGGACGACGACGGTCAGCAGGACGACGAGCAGCAGAACTGACACCAGCAGAAACCAGCAGACATGTACAGTAGATATATGGATCTGATGCTGAAGGAACGTGGAGCTTAATGGCACAATCACACCAAGTATTTATCCACCGACATGAAAAAACAGCAGCTCAGACACAACTGGACTCTTTAGTTTGTACAGGACAGAAACCTCAACCGAAGCTCACCTGAGTCTGTCTGAGTCGCCTGATGCTGTAGTGAGATCAGAAGGGTCTGGTTCTGATCATAAAACAACCTTTGAAGGCAGGAAAAGGAAACAAAGTGACTCAGTTTCTCACTGATTTTGGTGCAAAACAACAAAAACTCCGGTTAGTGCTTCAGCAGTTCGAGGCGTCCTGCTTCCAGCCCACATGTGAAATGTTAAAAAACAAAAACCAGCGCTGATCTTTCAGGTGTTTGTTAACCATGTTGTGTTCTGTTTATATTTCATTTAAAAATAACAATAAAGATGATCAACATTTTAATTTTCCGGCCTTTATGAGACAATACACAGGAACTTTCATCTCAAATCATTACAGTTTTTAAAAATAATTTCTGCTCCATCGTCTCTGATTTGTCTGAAACTTTTAGAATTCGACTTCACTTCTTATTTAGAAAACTGTAACTCACAGCTCTCCATGTTTTTCTTGTTGTTTTTGTGCAACAAGTCAGAAAAATGCAGACTTTTATGCCTCAAATAACTGATTTCATTCTCTTTTTAATTTTTCTCTGCAGTGTTTCACTCGATAAAGTTTTCCTCCTTTTTCAAACCTGTAACTGTTCTTTTGTTTTGTTTTTTTGTGTTGCACCTTTACAAATTCAGGTTAGTTTGTGCAAAAATTTGGGAAAAATCATTTGTTTTTTGTTTTGTTTTCATGCTGCCTAAAAGAAGAAACTATGTTTTTTTTTTAATTTAAATAAAAAATGTGTTGCTTTTTGTTTTCCATCCAAATTGTTTCAAGTCTTTCAGGATTCTGTTTTGTCAACGTGGCTTTCTGGGTTTTTGTGTTTATTTTCCTGAAAAATCAGATTGTTTGTGTTTTGTGGCTCGAATTCAAGTCCAAAACAATCAAAACTGAACCTAAAATGCAAAGATTTATGGACAGAAGAAAGACGGATGTGATGTTTTTCCTGTTTGGTTCAAATCAAAAACACGCAGCAACGAGACGACGAAGACGAAGACGGCTGTTAGTCAGTAAACAGAAGTAAACAGTGACGGTTTTAAATTACAAAAATATTTCGACTGCAAAACGTGCGATGAGGAACGAAACACGTCGGCTGCAAACAGAAAACTTCAACAAACCTTTTCTGAGCTTTCAAAATGAATCTCTCAGTGATCAGCCACAGTGGAAGAAGTATTCAGATTACTTCAGTAAAAGTATAAATACTCAATTACAAGCAGGAAACATCCTACGTACTGTAAGTACACAGCAGCAGAGGTTTGGTCACTCTCACTGATTTATTATTAGATTATTAACAGTGAAGTTTCCGTAAATGAGAAAAAAATGTATTTCTTTGACTATTTGTTTGATCAAAATTGCAAAAAAACTACATTGAACATTTTTAGAAATTCTTTCATTTGTCTCCTGCCTGCAGTTCAGCCAAAAACTCTCAGAATTTTTGCCACGTGACCGTCAATCACAGCGGACTCAGTCATGGCTTTAAAGTTGCTCCGAAAACAACAGAATTTTCTATTTTTTACAGAATCCATGTGACATAAACGGCATATTTATGGCACATTTTAAAACTGAGGCAGTTTGATAATCTGATGATTTTTTTTTCTCTGTTTCTGCACTTTGTGGCTCCGATTAATGTAACTCTGGACAAAAAAGCAAAAATAAATTCAAGTTGACCTTTCAAAAAAAAAACAACAACACAGAATCCTCAAAGACTCTTTTAACCACCTGGATGGAAAAAAAAAAAACTAACAAAGTTTTTAAATCTGTTTCTTGATGTTCTTTTCAGCAGCACAACAACAAAAAACGTGCTCACATACAACCAAGAATTTCTAAAATGCAACACAAAAATACACATTTAACGGTTGATTAAAGGAAAGGAACAGTTTTTAGAGAAAAACTTTGATGAGAAAACTGTAAAAGAGAATTTAAATTGAGCTGATTAGCTGCACAACAACAACAACATAAACTGCAAAAGCCCCCCAGAGAGGAAATGCTTTAAAAGAGCCTAAAACTGTGCAGGTAGATTTCTGACGGTTTGCACAAAAGCAACAACAAACAATGTGCTTCAGTGTTGAGTTCAGTGCTTCAGTTACTTTGCACCACTAGAGATCATGTGTCTCCAAACACTGTGCACACGTGCAAAATGTGAGTTAAAGGAGTTTTGAGTCGAGATTATTACGTGAAAGAAGCAAGAAGTGGAGCCGAGTTAGTTGAAATGTTCCGAGAAAACTGAGGTTTTGCAAATTTAAATTAGCAACAAACTGCAAAAAGAAGTCAAATGAGCTTCAGGGAGACTTTTCCTGTTTGCAGCCTGAAGCTCGGCATGTTTTCTCTCTGATGTCTGAACTGCTGTTTTGCTGCTGCTGCTGCTCTCAGATCTGCCGACGTCTGCACACTTTCACCCGCTGCCTTTTGTGGCTCAAACGCCGGCAAACAAATGGAAACTGCTTAGCACAACAAACAGGCCTCCAGCCGGAGCCGGCGGCAAAACAGCAGCTTGGTCCTGCACGTTTCTACCCAACCTGCAAACTTCCTCCACAGATGCTTGTTTACATGTTAGCCGGTTCTGTTTTTACATGTAAACAGAGAGTTCTGGTTCATGTAGTCGAGCTATGACGCTGCACGTTTAGTCAGTTTTCTGTCTTTTACACTTTTCAGTGCTTGAAATCAAGAGTTCAGGTTTGTTGCTGATTAGTTTCCATCAGGGACACATTTAAAGAGCATCGTATGTTTTCTTCCCTTAAATAAGAATCAAAGATCAGCATCAAAATCTACTGATGGAGCTTCTCTGGGCTCTGATTAGGAGAGTTTTAAATGATGCAGAGCAAGAAAAGTGTCCAAAAAAGTCTCCCTTTTAGTGCGAATGTGTGAAAATTCATCTACGAATACAACTTAAAAAATGGTATTTTTAGCATTTGTACTTATTATTTTGGCCAAAAAATGACTCCAACTGTTTTATATTTTCACTAAGACTTGAGCAGGCAGCAGTCTGTCTCTGAGGATTTACACAACGTCCACATTTACAGTTTAAATTACAGCAGAGTTGCGAAACTCGAGCTCTTCATGTAAATGAGAAAAATCTACACTTTTGCAACCCCACACCGAGTTACCAAACTGTCCCAGTTCATGTCAAGTGACTGTCCTGAGAATTAAAGCACAGAACCTCGAAAAATTATTAACTTTGAGCCTCATGAGTTGCTTATTTTTCAGCGATTTGGGCTGAAATTTGCAACGTAAACTGTCAGGATGATTTAAAGGAGTTGTAGCTGAATGTTTCACAGCAATTTAATTAATAAAAAACAACTAATTTCAGAGGTTTCATTGGTGGTAAACAGTCAGAACGCTGCAGAAATGCCAAAAACGTTCCTCTAAACTCTGCAGAGTTGAGTTGATGTCGTTCGTTTCGTCAGAAGCAGCAACGATTTTCACTGGAAAAGCTGAAGCTGTCAGTTCTGTTGTGATTATTGGGAATTAATTTACTTCATTAATTCACATTTAACATCTATTTATGACTCATTTGTGATTAAAGATCATGAATTCTGTGCCGACACATTAATGGATTCTGCTGCAAACACAGACATGAAATTATTGTGTTTGAACGTTTCTTTAATGTTTAAATAAAGATCTTTTTTTAAGCCAAACTGTAGTTGTTTCTGCTAAATTAGACATATTCTAACTGGTTTAACAGGTGGGCGATGGTGGAAAAATTTTGCAACAAACAAGATTTATTTTGTGTTTTATTTTTGCAGAGAAATGTTATTCATCTATAGCTATATAAATGTGGTTTCTTTAATGATAATTCTGGTTTATTTCTTTTCAATCTAAAGCTGTGTATATCCAGACAAAAAGTGTGAGTTCCTGCAGCTTTTCCAGAAAAAAAAAAAACCTGTTAAAAATGAATAATCTCTCATAGTCTCTGAAAGAAAACACAGAAGTTCAACACCTGGATGGACATTGTGCATGAAGGATCTTAACTTGGGGATGTTCTGTCTGAGAGAATCAACCTGCACACAAATAAACAAACCAGAATCTGTCAAACATGCAGGTGAACGAGTCAGACGCTGAGCAGAAGATCCTTAGTTCAGTTATGTAAAGCTCATAAAACGTCTGTTTTTCTGTCTAATGACATTTTTGAAAGACTCCTGTTTCCCTGAATTTACACGAACCACAGAGATGAAACTAACCAGAGGTCAGGTTCAAATAAACCCGAATTATCTTTGAAAGCAGCAGATTTATTCAGCTGCAGACTAATACGATTTCCTTCAAAATACGCAAAACTAGTTTGCTGGAGGATTGTAAACTGAGGTTTAGTTAAAACTTCTCCAAGGTTAAGTCAAGATTAAAATATCCCGACAAGTCCAAAACAGATCGCAATAAAACTTCCTACAAGCGTTCATGATCCTCAGAGGATCAACCAGACTGAGTTTTACCTGCAGCTCCACCATCATCCACCTGCTAAATTAAATATTGACTATTTTCAGTTGATCAGAACGACCCGTAGGGACACAGAACAGACGTTAATGTGAAAAAAAACAGACTAATCCTTTAAACCATCACTTAGTGAAGCTTGTTCAAAGCTTTTTAATCAGCGTTCATTAAAGTTAACTATAGAATAATAATCAAATACTAAAACAGCCTTGAGGTTACGGCAGACACTGAATCCAAACCGTCACAAAAACAAGCAGACGAAGCTGTTTCAGTTTTTTTTATTTTTTTTATTTCATTTTGTAAGAATCATTAAAATGTACAAAAAGACAACAAATACAACAAAACAATATATTATCTGAGACTGGCGGTGCGTTTCTTCTCCCTCTGGTCAGGTAAAGAGAGTCAGTGGTCAAAGTGAGAGCAGCTTCTCCACGCTGAAGGTCGAAGGAAAAACACGACGACGGAGGGACGTTTTTTTTTTCTACCGGCTTCTTTTTCCCCCCCAAAAAACATTAAGATCAATAATAATAATAATAATAATAAAAAAAACAAAACAAAAAAGAAAACTAGACGGCGAGCGGCTGACGGACGTCTCGAGGCGCGACAGAGGAGTCCGTCATGTCGTACCTCGGTGGCGTGGCGTGGCGAGCGCCGTCCTGTGGGGGGCGCCGCTGCACCGCGACGCTTCACTACCAGGCCGGAGCCGTGTTGGCGAGTCGCCTCATCCGCCTGGACGGAAACAGAGCGAAGAAAAACAGAGTCAGGATGACAGCAAACAATGTGAATTCCATTACAAGCTCCCACAATGATGAAGATTCTAATTACACACGTGGACAAAATAGTTGGTACGACTCGGTTAATGAAAGAAAAACCCACAACGGTCACAGAAATAACTTGAATCTGACAAAAGTAATAAATAAAAAATTCTATGAAAGTTAAGCAGTGAAAATCAGACATTGTTTTTGAACCATGGTTCAACAGAATTATTGAAAAAAAATAAACTCATGGTGCATAAAAGCAGAACTGGTGGATCGGTTTCCTGGGTCAGCGGACGGTGCAAAGACTCGGACACTCGCCTCGTGTTTCTGTCCTGGTCTCTGATCTTCTTCTCCATCTCGGCGTCGGTCAGTGTCTCCAGCAGGGGGCACCACTGGTCGGCGTCGCCCGTGTTCCTGATGGCGATCTCCACCGTGGGCAGCGGGTTCTCGCTGCGAAACACGACAACAAACAACAAACTGTGAACTCAAAGGTTCTGCTGCACAAACACCAAACATTCTGACAGATGTTGGAGATCTTCTAAAGACGACGAACACATTCCTGCCTGAGCGGTGTTTTAGGAAACAGGAGCAAAATACGAGCAAACAAGCGTGAGAGGCCGAGGCGTGTTTCACCTCTGCTCACTGTGACTCGTATTCGTCGTGGAAAACAGATTTCCTCTGCGGCAGATGTCTGGTTTGGAAACATTTCAGCGTCTGCAGCTTTTCACCCACAGACCTCAAAACGAGCAGGTTCAACTTCGCTCTGGATAAGAACCGACGGAGGAGCGTCACAACAAGCCGCCGCCGAAACAGGAGGTCAGAGGTCGTGGCTACGTCACCACGGCAACAACAACAAGCTTCAGACTGTGGCTCACCGACGACACAGAAAATGAGTTCAGACGGCTGCGTAACTATGACATCTGTAATTATCCCCATCTGCAGCACATCTGAGGCTGAGCACACTCGTCTAATCTCCCCCTAACGTTGATTTTTAAACTCTGTCAACACAAATCTAGGCACACGTAACTTTATCTACAACATACTTTGCCTGAACTGCGTTTACCTGATGGCCCCTGACGGATACGTTATTGATCTTTTGCAGGACATGAATCACGAATCTGAATCTGACACTGAACACGAAACAAATTCAGGATCAGAACGTTTCACAGAAAACCTACTGAAAACTTACTGTATAGATGATATGCAAAATGTGACATCATCACACCAGAAAACCATCAATGAATAAGAACACTGTGCATGAATTCACCAACGTGTGTCTTTGTCTTTTCTTGACACAACAATAATTCCTGCTAGCGTTAATAACTAATCAGTAAACACGACCTGAAGCAGAAGAAACTGGAGGAACGTGAGATAGTTGATTAATTTAACCCACTAAAACCGGACTCATGTTGTCGATGTTGTGAGTGTCAGAAATGCTCGTTTACATGAAAACAACATAAACAAAATATTATGTAATAAAACATCCTTCAACTCTTATTAAATCAGTAGAGATGATCAGAATGCACAATCATCACATTTCTGACTTTTTAAAATACATTTTAGGACTTTTAAGAAGGGCTGCAAGGTGGCTCAGTGGTTAGCATCGTCGCCTCACAGCTAGAAGGTTCACGTCGCAGTGAGGACACCCAGGATCTTTCTGCGTGGAGTCTCCATGTTCTCCCCGTGCAGCGTGGGTTCTCTCCGGGTTCTCCGGCTTCCTCCCACACAGTCCAGAAACATGTAGAGGTTAATTGGTGATCCTAAATTGTCCGTAGGTGTGAATGTGAGTGTGCTTGGTTGTCTGTCTCTAAGTGTGGCCCTGTGATAGACTGGTGACCTGTCCAGGGTGTCCCCTGCCTTCGCCCTAAGTCAGCTGGGATAGACTCCAGCCCCCCATGACCCTAATGAGGATTAAGCCGTGTATAGATAATGGATGGACTTTTAAGAACATAATTTTTTATGTAATGTGGAGTTTTCATGAGCTGCAGATTCTCCTGGTTGATGCAACGCCTTAAAATTCACTAAAGCAGTAAATTCTGAATTCTTTTTTTAGACTTTTTTCGACTCCTGCAGTCAACAAGACTTATTTTTCAAAAAGTTATGAACAACTCGTCGCTCTAAAACTAATAAATCCACATAAGAGCAAACACAACGCCCTGTTACTGGTAATCTTAATATTAACGTTTCCTGGCGGCGTCCCACCTGAAGGCGTACGTCCTCTGGTGCCAGCTCAGCTGTCCTCGGATGCTGTAGGCGATGGTGGTGACGAACTCCCCGCCCAGGCCGAGCTCAGAGCACAGCTTCAGGGCAAACTTCTCCGGAGAGTTCTCCCGCTCCGACATGTCCCACTCAAACTGGTCGACCAGAGAGATGTTCCCGACGTGGATGTTGAGCTGCAACACAGAACCAACATGAACTCACAGCTCCAGACAACAGAACATTTCGTTGCTACCGTCAGTGTGGAGAATCACCTTGATGATGACCCGCTGGTCCGTCTGGTCCTCCAGGATGCTGTCTGTCGGATACGACTCGATCTGCTGCCGGATGGCCGAGGCGATGGCGGGGACGAAGGCCAGCGGGTTCAGGTCCAGGTCGTCGCACAGGATCTCGGCGAACATCTCAGGCGTCATGAGCTTCTCTGAAAATGTCAAATGGGGAACATGTGAAGTCTTTGACAGAAAGAATCTCCGAGCTGAGCTGAGCTGAGCTGAGCTGAGCTGAGCTGAAGCGGCGCCGGGACGTTACCGTTCATGTTCCAGGTGAAGGCGTCTCTGAGCTTCTGGCCCTCGATCTCCATGTCCAGACGGATCGGAACCAGGACTTCGGACTGAGTGGCGTTTTCGTGGATCACTGCTGGATCGTGGTCGTCGAAGCTGAACAAGATAAACGCACAGAGAAAAATTTGAAAACACCAACAAACACTTAAAACGTGCCTATTAGAGAGATGCTGCTGATTCTCAGTAAACTAATTACATGCTGTTAATGAAATTTACACTGATAAATCTAAAGATGAGTGACAAGCACGTCAGAAAATATATTGCAGTTTAGCTGCAGTACATTTGCATTTCTAATTCTATGACTTTAAGCTATTTTTCCATTTTTTTCTGGATGAGTGAAAAAAAATAAAAATCTTTTAAGAAACACTAACAAGGATTTAATATTCTGTAAAAGGCTCTCTTGCTCGTTAAATCCCAGTTCAATTAATTAATTAGCTGATAAAACCAGTTAATTCATGACATTAATGCAAAAATCCTTCATCATAAACTAGTCCTGTCCGTTCCTCTTCTACACTGACTGCACTTTAAAATTATTTTATGTTTATATTGTTTGATTTAATTTCCATTCTTTAAATTTGAATATTTAGTTCTTCTTTCACATTTTAACGCACTATGTAAAGCACCCTGAGAATGAAATAAGCTTTAAGAATCAACTTGCCGGATAAAAGCACATGTCAAAAAAGGAAATGATAGAAAATTAGAATTTATTATACAACAATATTTAATCTCTAGCAGACTAATGTCATTTCATATGCAGACTAAAGATCATCTCATGTCTGTTTCCTCAGAGGACGACACATTCATCTGCTGCTGTTCTGTTCTGTAAACCTGCATGAAGAAGATAAAAGCAGCTGCTGACCACAGGGGGAAGGTCCTCTTCTTGTCTCGGCCCAGGCGGCTTCGGTTGATGGTGGTCGAACACGGAACGGCGTCCAGGTGATGAGAACTGTTGGGCAGCGTAGGAACCCACTGGCTGTTCCTCTTCGCCTTCTGTTCCCTGGTGGCACAGCAGAAACATATTAAAAACCAAAGGAAAACGTGTTGTCAGCGCCTCTATTCACCTCTGACACTAATTTTTCCAGCATCTTTCTTGCACTTTTCATCCCGTATCATCTGGTTTATCCTCAAACATAAGACTTTAAAACAAAGTGTCATTTCTGAAAGCTCAAATCATAACCAGAAGTCGGTTTGCAGACGCCTCTGACTCAATGATCGTTGATTAAGAGCTTTCATCATCTTTATTTTTGTAACGACAAGACGTAAAAAAAGGACCACAAAAAGACTAAAAAGAGACACAGAACTACCATAAAGAGACACGTAATAACCACAGAGACGCAAATTAACCAAAAATAGGCCCGAATGTAGGCAAAGAGGCACAAAATTGCAACTACAAAGTGACACAGAGAGACTGAAGACTATGGTAAAAAGACACAAAACGACCACAAAGACACACAAAATAACCATTAACAGACACTAAATGACTAAAAACATAAAAAATGATCACGGAGACAAAAAAAAAAAAAACAAGCAAAAATAGATGCAGGGGGAGACATAAATTTACCAGAAAAAAAGACATAAAATTGGAGTAGACACACAAAATGACACCGCATGATGGAAAAGAGACGCAAAATAACAAAAACAGACACAAAATTAAGGCAAAGAAATGAAAAACAGCCACAAAGAGACTCAAAGCTAACAAAAAAAGACACAAAATGACTGGAAAATTACATAAAATAACCACAAACAGACACCAGGACTAGTCTACCTGATGTTTACACCTTATTGGTCAATTAAGCCATAATTATTTATAATCTAAACATTGAGATTTAATAATGTATTATTTCTTTAGTCAGTGCTTGTAATGAAACTGTCTGTAATTTTTGAGGCAGAACACAGACAACCCAAACAAATAAACAATCAACACGAGTGAAAACGTGACTTCACACATAGACAGATGTCCTTTTAAAATCTTTACAGGTGACCGTGTTACCTGAGGTAGGCTGGAGGCTCAGTGCTGATGGAGACAGCTTTGTACTTCTCATCGTTTCCTTCCAGGATCTCCTCCACCTCCGAAGCCTTCAGCAGAGTCACACTGGTGGCCAGCTGAGTGTAGCCGTGATCTGAGCGAGTCGGACAGGAGTTATTAAAGACAGATGAATTCTGCTCCTGTCCATTTCATGAAACAGGCAAGTGGAAGAGGGACGAGCTCATCTAAAAGTTTCAAACAGATCCATGTAAACTTGCTAAAACTCTTGCTGGACCTTCATCAGACAGAAGGGTTGGTATAAAAAGAGATCGTGAATAGGAATCTGCTGTAACTCAGGCGCCAATAAATACACTTTATACGCAAAAGAGGGGCACGAACCACAAAAGATTTTATCTGATGGTCAGAAAACGTCAAAAGTAAATAAATAAAATGTACATACATGTGTCACATATTCCAGGATATTAATGCTTAAAGCCCACCAACAGCCAAAGCTGCATTCTTAGGAAAAGCCTGGACTTACAGGACGCAGAATAACTGAAACAACTTAAGTAGATAAAGTCAAATACAGAAAAGAGGAAATGTAAACATCAATTATGAATCATCACAATAATAAATTAACACCAGCTGCTCCCCACAACAATATATATCCAGGTATAAGGTTTGTTTTTATCAGACAATGAGTATTTTTTAACAAAACAAAAAAGAAACCTTATACCTATAATCAGAGTAGACAAAATACACCTAATCAGGCTAATATATATCCAGATTACATGAATTTTCTCCCAGAAACGAACCACGTAGCACCAAAAGGTTGCTAATCAACGTGTTTTTGTGGGTTAGGACAGTGTCTGTTGGAAAACTCTGAACCTCACCTTGACAGCAAAAACACAACAGAAACAGATATATGCTCAGTTTATTTTCCATCCTCGTGGAAAACACATTTCTACATGACTCTATCAGCTCATTAAACAGTTTGAAGGTGAAATTATTGTGTAATTAACGGCGTATAGAGTCGAGAATTTCTTGTCGTGTATATTTTATGCAGCAGGCGGCTGCAGACGCGTCCACTGACCGTGTGATGACTCCACTATTTTCTTCCGTTCTTCTACTGATGCCAGCTTTCTCCATAGCGACGGATATCTTTTGTACAGGGAGCCTCTGAACATACGGAGGTAGTTTCCCACCTGAACGCACAAACACACAAGAACAAAGGGGGAGACATAAATTAAAATGGAGCACTGTGGTTAAACAGATTCTTGGTGATAGTCAATCAAAACAGGCATTACTGCTGCTCAGTCTGTTGAGGCGACAACGTCAACACACTTCAGAAGAACTGATAACGACAATAACTGTGAGTCGCAGCCTTATACAACAACACATTAACATGTTTACATGAGGCCAAAAAGTGCCGACTGTTCAATGTCGTAGTTGAATGTGGAGATGACCTTTTAATTTACCAGATGATGTGAAATGCTCTGATTTGATTACACTTGAACGAGGAGAGATAAAACGTACAACTTGTAAAATCAGTATTTACTAAAACTGCACGTAATAACCTTTAATTAGTAGTGTCTTTGCTATGACTTGAGGCAGATCAGGGCCCCCACAAAATTAAGTTATTTTTGGCTTTTAATGCAATTTACCTGCATCATGCTTAAGCTTTCTGCATTACACTTCATTGTACGCCAGGTCTATGTTTTGCTTGTTTTGTACTCTTGAAGATTATGCCTCTGTTGTGTGCTTCTGTGTTCGTGTTGGGGAAAATAACTGATGAATTAAAAACTACTTCATGAATGTAGAACAAACGGAATTTCCGGCATAAATTCAGAGACTATTGGTGCTGAACTGTCATTTAAAATGCTGCATGTGTTGTATGGAAATGAGGGGACAATTTGTGACAGCTGTGATTACATACCAAAAACATTAGAACAATACACTAGAAAACCATTATTTCACATTTATTTCAGCAAGCAAGAAGCCCTTTAATCTCAAAATGGTGCAGTGCTAGTTTAACCTACATAGCGCCGAATTAACTGATGAACAAACATGGAGCCAATAAAGGACAAAGCTTTATTATAAGATTAATTCAACCACATGAAAGTAGACAAAACGAGAGAAAATAGCATTTCAGTTTGAATTAAAGCTGGATTAACACCGTTAGCTGGCTTGCTAACTGTTAGCCAACTCAAGCGAAAAAAGCCGAGCGAGCCTCCGGAGAAGGCCGAAGGGTTTAGGTTAAACTTTACTCTGTTACACCAACGTGTAGATTAAATAGTTTTATTTTCTGTGTGGTTCTCTGTTAATTAAACAACGAATGGTGAATAAATGAATGAGGCTCGGTGCGCTGCTGCTGGCGTCGTTACCCAGGCTAAGCTAACAGCTAGCTGCTAGCGGACCGGCTGTCGTGTTAAACGGTACATTTACGTTTAAATAAGTAAATTCTTGAAATGGTAACAGCTAAATGGGTGAAATACTGACCTCCGATCCAATCATGTAAAAGTCTCCATCCTCCTCGAGCTGAAATTTGACCGGTTTTTGTCCAAACGTCTTGCTAAGCGCCATACTGAAATGAAATAACAAAGATCCGACCGACTGCGCAGGCGCGAACGGCGAAGCCACTCCGGTCGCAGAGACATGACGTAACGACAAACCCGTTAGTCGCACAAACAACAGTCGGTAAACTTGTCAATGTGTAATATTTAGATTAGCATTTCTTTTAAAACTGTTATTTTAAATGAATATTTAAATAGAAATATATATATAAAAATATTGTATCTTACAAAAGAAGAAGACATTTGATTAATTCCACAGTATTAATTTATGTTTTGCTGAAGTACTGCTGATGTATAACTGTTCAACTGCTGCAGTAATTAATATTTAACAATCCATCCTCTGTCAAGGAAATTTCTTCAAAAAACATCAAACTCTATGATCAAGAGTTCCCTCTGCTTCAGAGGGAAACTTAATTGCCAGACTAACAAATTACCAACGAGTAAATCGACTACAGAGACGCACAAAATGACCAAAAAAGACACTGCACGACCACAAACAGAAACAAAAGGACTACAGAGAGAGACACAACATGATTATTAGAAGACACAAACCAACCAAGAAGTGATGCAAAACTGACTACAGCGGCACAAAATGTTGAGAGACACGAGACAACAGACAGAAATTGAAAATTGACGCAGAGACACAAAATAACCCAAAAGACACACAAAACAGTCAAAGAGACGCAAACTGACTACAGCGACACAAAACAGAAACATGAAACGACAACAAGAAGAAGCAAATTTGCCAATAACAGACACAAAATGATCACAAAGAGACACAAAAACAACAAAAAACAGACACGAAGTGATCACAAAGAGATGCGAAACGGCCAAATTCAGGCACAAATGTAACACAAGCAGACACAAAATGACTACGAGGACAAACAACTACAGAGAGACACGAAACAATTGCAAAGAGACGCAAATGCATGACGGCTGTAAAACCCCCCAAAAAACGACCAGAGACACAGAAAGATCACAAAGAAACATGATGCGACCACAAAGACACGCAAAACAACCAAATACAGACACTAAATGTCTGCAAAGAGACAAAAAACAAATTCAGAGGGGATTCAGCGGCAGAATAAGTCTCTAAACGGCCACAAAGAGGAGAAAAATATTCATAAAAAACATAAACTACCAAAAAGAGACACAAAATGACTACAGAGAGATACAACACAAACACAAAAGATATAAAACATCTGCAAAAAGACAAAAAATTAGGCACAAAATGAGGCAAACTGACTACAGCGACACAGAGACCATAAAGACACACAAGAACAAGTCTTCCTGAGATTTACGAGTCCTCACGAGTCAATTAAGGCCTTAAAGAGTTGCTGCTGAAACACCTGGAGCTCAAACTCCTCAATTAAACTGCGCCGTGTAGAATTTCTGCACAATTTTTCTACATTTCTGTATCTTGAAGTTAATGAACTGAACAAAATCTGCTGCTCTGGTAACAAAAGAGAGACACAGAGGTGTTTTTTACTTTTATAAATTTAATGTTTATTCATATATACATGAATATATTAATCTATAACCAAGAAAGGAGAGAATGTACAATGCAAAACAAAATCTCTATATACAAATCAATAAATAAACAAAGACATAATCGAGGACAGGTGGGTTTTCTACACAGGGTTTTGTGTTCTGGGGGAAAAAAACAAAGACTGCAGTTAGAAAAAGTTCTGAAATCCTTTTGTTAAAATGGGAAAATGGCACCCGAGCACAGTTCAGGGGAACGAAACAGAAAGAAATAAAAACACACACCACGCCAGCTGGTTTCCAGTTTTGTTTTTTTTTTTCTTCTTCTTCTTCTTGTAAACGCAGCCTTTTTTTTTTTTATTTTTTTTAATTTGTTCAAACTCGCACAGAATCAGGTCAAATCACAAAAAGGTTTTGTCAACACGGGCTACGACGACACACAGACCAGTCCATCACATCAACGCTCGGAAGTTCACCTCAAAGATCCGCTCAGAGTCAATTTCTCGCAGGTGAAGCTGTGGAGGCGAAGCTGCTGCAGAAACCACACCCGTCGGTTACTGTTCACGTCCGGGAGAATCGATTTTTAACACTACAGACACTCTCGTTCCAACCAAACGGCACAGAGGAGAAGCCGACGCTGCGTTCAAGGCGTGTCAGGAAAAGTGAAAGACAAAGCTGGTGATGCTCGGTATATTTTCCTCAAACATTAGCTCCCAAAAATGCTCCATTTCGCCTGCTCTGTCAAGAGTCAGTTGTTTCGCAAAGAAAGAAAAATTAAGGTACAAACTGATAGATTTGCTCAGTTCTGATTGATAACGAATCAGCAGCTGTTTAATGTGTTTAATCAGGTCCGAACCCTCTGAACTCCAACGAAACCCGCCGGCGGGTTTAAAAGGCGTCTCATCTTTTTTTTTAAATCTCCAGAATTACACCATTTATCAAGAGTTTTAACTTTCCTTTGACCTAACTGTAACTTGCTGTGTCTCAGAAATGCGATATTTAATCAAAATCCTTTTATTCTACAAGCCTCATTTAAACATGCTCCTTTGTTCTGAACAGATTCTGTGAAAAACTAAAAATTCTGCGCTCCTCGATGCAACTGAAAAGTCACGACTGACTCAGCTGTGATCGACTATCAGGTGGCAAAAATTCAGAGTTTTCAGGTGAATTGCAGGAAAATCCAACCTACTGGATCAACAGAATAAACACAGCATGGCTCAGAAACAGTGAACAGAAGAGCCAGGAGTTGGAGATACATCCAGCTGATGGTGACACATCTTTCTAGAAATGTGCAGAGTAGAGAGAGAAAAAAGAAATGTAGATAATTTTTTTAATGATTTCTGTCATTCTGAGCTCTCTCTTCTTCTTCATGGTTGTTCTGTTTCCATAGAGGACTTCACATTGCAGAGAAAAATGAGCCACAGTGAGTAAAAATGTGACAGGAGCAACAAAAACAAACGCCCAGAAAAACTGCTTGGAGTTCAGAGGGTTAATCGATGAAAAGTCTGACAGTAAACAATGTGTGACATCAAGTAGGAGATACAGAATCAGTGTTTTACAGGCGCTGTGATGCATTTAAGGTCCTGCAGCACGAGAAGGAAATGTTTTTAGACTCAAAACTGATTTGTGAATATTTATAGCAGAGAAAAACAGGCTCTGCTCTTTGTTGGCTTTTCAACACGTTTAACAGCTTAAAATTTACGAAACTTGTCCAAGAAGTGAAGCAAAAATACAAAAGTAGAAAGGAAATATGCGGAGCAATGTTCACTCAGCCCTGAAACGTGGAAAAAAGCGGTCGACCGTTTCCTTTGTGTTCAAGTTTTCGGCGGTGTTTGTTTGCAGCGAACGCACCTCAGATGCACCGTTTGGTCGGAGCAAGAAAAAAAAGGTTTAAATCATAAAAACGGTTTCTACATCGGCTTCACCTGCAGCAGCTCACCAACATCTGTAACTCTCCACGGGGGAAACAGCTCCACACGTTGTTTTTTTTTTTAAATCATAATAGTGTTTTTTCACCCTTTTTTTCCCCAGAAAAACAACAGTAAACATACAAACTAGATTTTTTATCCACTGTGAAAGGCAGAGGACTCAACCTTCTCCTCTCTGTTATTTTTGGCACATGTAGGGTCGAGCCTTCGCTGCTCGCCAACATGGCGGACGGCGGGCGGATGTTCACCACGGAGAGGGGGGGAGGGGCGGATGAGATGTCGATAAAGTTCACAGTGTTGGACGTGACGCGCCGATCGACTGAAAGGTCACAGTGTTCAGCAGCCAGGACGGGTCCACAACACGACGAGCTCCCGCTGCTGCTCATCACCATATTGCTCTCGCAGGTTTTTGTTTTGTTCCGTAAAGTTGGGGGCGCTTCGTTCGTTCATTCGTTCGTTTGATCGTTGTGACAACTTCATGCAGATGAAATAAACAACAAAATAAAAGGCAACACACGGTGGCGGCAGGAACTCGGCGTTCTGCTGCGGCGATATGAACACGAGGAAAAATCCAACCTTAGATATTCAGTGTTTTTAATGTGAATTAGTGATTTCCTACGTTTCCCAGAATGCTGTGCAGCAAACCTCAGATCATCCAATCACAGCTTTGTAACGGCAGCTTGACGTAACAGTTTCAGCTCCAGATTAAACAATATGTTAATTTAGGATGCTAATGCTAACGTGCAACCTAAATCAGTGCAGGCTAACGCTAGCGGCTAACTTTTGGTGCGGCAGAACAGGAATTAGTGGTTTAAAGATGGTTTTTTGCTATATTTAAATAAAATTAGTCTCATTATCATCTTATAATATCAGTACGAATAGTTGAGGACGCTTTAGCCTCCATCTTTAAGCACGACGTCAAGAATGTAGTTCACATTGGTTTTTGGTCTATAAAAGATAAATATTTCATTATTTGTCGAGAATGGAATTCATTTTGACAACTGATTCATCTGTTGGACCATTTTTTTCTATGTCAGACGCTTAAATGTGAATATTTTCTGGTTTCTTGCCTCCTCTGTGACAGTAAACGGAATGTCTTTGGACAAAACAAGACATTTCAGGGCATCATTTTGAGCGTTAATAGACATTTTTCACAATTTTCTGACATTTTATTGACATCTGATCAATTAGTTGAGAAAATTACTAATCAATGAACTGAAAATGAAAATTCGGTGCGGTCCTTCTATAAAATGTGAGAAAACTGTGAAAATTTGACGTGTCAAACTAAAAAACTAAAAAAACATTCAGTTTAATGTCTTTTAGGAGGGAAAACGCATAAAATATTCACATTTAAGAAGCTTAAATCAGAGATATTGACTTTTTTTCTTTTAAAATGCATTCAAACTGAATAATTTGTTATCAAAATAGCTGGTCGACAATGAATCAATTCAATGTTGCAGCTCTAATTGCAAAATGAACGAATGAGAAGCTGCGTTTTTGGGTGAAATTAAGGGCAAACTTCTCCAGACATTGCTATAAATTTAGAAAAATGTGTGTTTAACAAGAGCTGAAAGCCTGACAGGTGTCAGTTTAACACCGTTCAGTCCACAAACCAAAGCCTGTAAACATCTACTGCAGCTGATAGAATGAAAGAATCTACCGACCCCACACGTGTAACAGAAAACCATCAAGTACAGCTGCTTGAGAAAAGGTGTTTCAGGTTGGATTTTTCCTGTAAAGAAGCAGAAGAACGGCACAGAGCAGAAGGAGAAGAGTTTGTTCCCTCGTGCGGCAGCTTCACCGTCGTTCGTCTGAGCTCCGACAGACTTCAGTCGGTGTTTTACGGCCAGATTTCAGGAGCGTTTCTGCGTTTTAACAGTAAAGCGCAGCTGGAAATCGTCACTTTGTTCCACACCTGCTGCGAGTTTAGAGCCCGGAGACGAGCGACTCGGCTGCCGACACACAAACCAGAGAGGAAGAAAAACGTCCTGCAGCACAGCGAGCCGTCATGGCACATCTGGACAGAAGCTACTGATGGATATGAAGGGCAGGCCGCCACGCTGGAGGAAACAGGAGAGCAGCGAGCGGCGGCAGGTTTTCTGTGAGGTGTAGATCTTCTAGTTTATCTAATAAACGTGGATGGAACACGACCAGATCTGGAGGCGGATTATGACCCTGTGATCTGATATAAAGAGTGCAGCTGCTGCTACGCTAACATTAGCATAAATCAGCTTTTAGTGTCTTTAGAGTCAAATGTTTGTGGAGCGCTGGATATTTGGACTTTTTTTTGCAATTATCTGAAACATTTAAGGCAAAACTAATGTTTAGGTAGCTTGATAAGCTGCATGGGAGCAAAAGAAAAAAAAGAAAATATTTTAAGAGAAATCTGTGTAGAGCAGTTATTAAGGTCAGATGTACATTATTTAAGATAAAATATTTCAAATATTTGGCATATTTTGGCAAATTCTTCAAATGCAAAAAAAAAGAAAAAAGATGCCTAATGAGCACTGAATATTTTTACTTTTTTTTTGCAATTGTTTTAAACATTTTTGGGAAAATGTCAGAAAAAGAAAATATTACAAAATCAGTGCACTTATTGAGGTCAAACTGTGTGAAATATTTTAATATATTGTTTCAAATTGTTCTGAAGAAAAATGTTGAATGAACACTGAATATTTTAACTGTTTTGCATTTAAATTAAACATTTTATGCAATAACATGGATTTTTTTTCCACCCGGAAACATGAAAGTCAAATTTAACTATAATGAATATTTTGGATAAAATATTTAATGTAATTAAAATATTAGGATATTCTGAACATTTTGGAAGATATTTCCAAAGAAAATCTTTTATTTAAAACTGAATATTTAAACTTTTTATAAATATATTTTTTTTTAAATTTAGATTTATTTATTTATTTTTAGGAAGCCTGTCAAGTGGAAGAGAAACAAAATTCCATCAGCAAAAGAAAATACTAAAGAAAATAGTGTGTGTGAAATATTTTGTGTATTTAAATACTTTTAGTACAATTAAAATACTAAAACGTTCTGAATGTTTTGGGGGCTTTTTTCCCCATAGAAAATGTTAATTGAACACTGAATAACTGTATGATTGAAGGACTTTTTTGCCATTATTTTAAACATTTTGGGTAAAAGTCGCCTTTAGAAAGTTTGACAAAGTGCATCGAAGCAAATTTCCACCAGAAATAGAAATTATTTGAAGCAGAATCAATTATTAAGGTCAAATTTAACTATATATTATGAATTATGGAACATATTAGATATAATGTCTTTGGATATTTTGGAGGCTTTTTCTCAAGAAACTATATTAAAAATAAAAATAAAAAAATCTGACAATGTGTGAAGGTATCTGGAGGCACATTTTGACCAGAAAAAGAAAATATTTAAATGATAAACGATTAAAAAAAGAAGCTGAGTAACAAAGTTGTTGACCAGACGACAAATATACAAATAGTTTCATATCTAATAGTTTGAGCAGATGTCTGACTTTTCTTTGACTTTAAATAAAAATAATTTGGCAGTTTTGCTCTGGCACAAGACGTTAACAGGCATTGTTCAGCGCTTGAATCACAAAATTAACTGTAAAGTCAAAATAATTGGCACAGAACAAACTTGAGTGAAGATTTAATACTTGAATCATATCTGGATTTCTGCTTTGAAATCTGAGAAATTTTTTCTAATTTCTGTTGTCTGGATTTATTTTTAATCTGCTATGACATTAATCAGTTGTTTACGCTTTAACAGAGGTGTGTTTTTTAATCTTTCTTAATATTTATTTTTGATCTCTGAACGGCCTGTTTGACATTCCAACCTGCTGCTTCTGCAGAAACCGTCTCCGTTGTTGTCCAGCGTGGCGGCCGGCGCAGAAAACGGCGGCGTGCAGCTCGTAGGACCTTCATCAGAAAGACAATTAGCAGCACCATGTCAGAGCAACATAAAAACGTACAAAGCAAAATGGAAAAACAAACAAACAAACAAAAAAAACATATCGCGACGAGTCTATTAACAAAATCTCACGGTCCGTTCCAAAAAGAATATACTGCACGGATGGTGTTAATCGATATATACACTCAGTTCTTCTTTTTGTGTTCGTTTTGTAGTGCGATCAAAGGTCTGCCACATCCTTCACGATGTAGTGGTTACGACTCACTAAGGATAAAAAAGAAAAGGAAACAGTGGCATGTGATTCATGGCTGTGCCCACGTCTCTCTTTGTTTTTTTTTTTACTTGTTTGTAACATGGCAGCACGTTTGAATCCCTCCGTGTCGGCGTCGCTGGTGGTAAAAAGCCGAACCTTGAGTGCTGCGAGTCCCAGAAACGCCGTCGGGGGGCGTCGGTAAAGGCGGCGGCACATCACGACGAAAGCTCCCTGAAAGTATAGAAACACATTCGAACACCCGGCGCTCAGCGTGGAGGCGCCGCGGCGTCGCGTTGTCCGAGTACAATGCAGGGATGAAGGCTGCCGGGGGGCTTAAAAACCACCGAAAGGTGCAAAAGATCCTCGAGAGGCTTCAACGAAAACCTTTAAGAGCCGAAGATGTAAACAGAACGTGACGGAAATCAAAAGCTTCTCCACAATCTGTCAGTTCACATCCCCGAAAAACGCGTCCTTCTGGCGACTCCGGGGTCCCGACAGCTAAGTGCTAATAAGGTGCTCCGATCCACAGAAAGCTTCTCCTCGGGCCCAACACGGGTCCCTCGGGTCGGTTCTCCTCCTCACGCGAACAGAACCGAGGCCGGAGAGGGTTGGAGGTCCGGGTGGTGAGGGGCTGGGGAGGTGGAGGGGAGGCAGGAGGCGGCGAGTCTTTTCTTCCTCAGAAAATCCCTTTGGCGATTTTCAGTCCCTTCTGCTTCATGCGAGGCAGCGTCGAGCTGGCCACGTTCTTGGCCCGCACCGGCCGGGCCGAGCCGCGCTTCTTCAGCACAAAGTCGTAGTTGGCAGTGGAGTTCATGGCGTAGAAGACGTTGGCGTTGTCCGGGATCCGGAGCTCTGCGGGGCGACGACAGGGAGGTTACAAACAGGACAAGACAGGACAGAAAGCAGCGGTTCTGTCTGTCGGTGGATTCACACCATCAGACAAGAGAGGAAGTAGATAAAATAATAATAATAAAAGCAAAACTAATAATCACAACTGTAACCTGTAGCTTATCGCCGTAAAAACAGCTTTAAGATCACTTTGAAAAATAATAAAAACAAGATTAGTGAAAATAAATCTACAAATAATTTCATTACTAACTAACAGCTTGGATCATTTTTCAAACAGATTTTGTGCTTTTTTTTTTCCCCAACTTAAAATCAAAATAATGTGACAGTTTGAGACGGTTGCTCTGACAAACCACACAGACAAAGTAATGATAATATTTCTTTTTTAAATCTGCTTCAAATACCATTTAAATTTTAAACATTTTTTCTGTTGGATTTTCAACTTTCAAACGGTCCTTGAACTAATCACGGGCGACACAGTTCTGTTGGGAAAATAAACGAAATCCAGCCTTAAAATTGTGATATGTAATTAAAATCACTTTAATTAGAAAAAAAAGAAGTCTCAGCTGTGACCAACAGAGTACAAGAAGTCACATTTTCTATTTTTGTTTATATTTTTAGTTCTTATTTTTCTACTTATGTTTATATTTTTACTTCATCATTTCTACTTTTGTTTATCTCTATATTTTCTACTCTTCATATTTCTGACTTTGAATTGGAGCGACTGTAACACAAGTAATTTCTTTTCAGGGATCAATAAAACCTTTCTGATTCTGATGTGAACCATAAAATACAATAATAAATCATAAATAAATATAAATCTGAGGCACAATTTAAAGCTCGTTTTAGTGAAATAGTTTTAGCTTCAGTGTTGGCAACAGTTGGACATGTTGAGTCCAGGCTTTTTTCAATTTTTGTAAAACATATAATACAAGTTCTACAAATTCCTCCTGTCTTTATGAGTTCTTATTCTGTGTCATACAGCACAAAGACAATTCTGAGTTCTCTCTGTTTTTATCGTCATGGTTGTTTGAAAAATGAGCCACAGTGAATAAAAACGTGACCAGAACGAGTTCTGAGGGTTAATAAAGTAGCTGTGGTTATACTTCGTGTATAAAATGTTTGTACTTTACCTTTGTCCTCTGAGATTTTCTGCATCAGCTCGTAGTCTTCGGTCTTTTCTCGCTCCAGGTTGTGTTTGATCATCGCCTTCCTGATGACGGCTGGAGTCTTGTCCTGACTCGTCACCTGAATCACGCCACAAAAAAAAAATCATAATGTGTTTAAAAGACACCAAAAGATAAACAAAAGAAGAGCCTGAAAACCTAAACGTCTTTAGAACGTGTTTCCTCACCAGGATGCTCTTGTACATGTTCCCGTTCTCCACGTCCAGACTGACCCGGATGATGCAGCAGTCGTCCACCTGCTGGTTGTACAGCGGCAGCGACAGCGTCGAGTAGTTTGACACCGCCGACACCGAGCGCTTGTGCGAGCGGGAGGCCGACAGCGGTGTGGACGACGACACGGAGGACGAGGACGCGGTGCTGGAGCCTGAGGCCGAGCCGGAGCTGGAGCCCATGCCGGAGGTGTCGAGGGACGAGAGGGACGTGCACTCCCAGAACTGGAGGAGGAAACACGGATCAGTCTGTGAGCTGCTGTGGACTGGATGTGTAGTTACACTTTTATTTACAGCAACACTGGACAGGATTCAGTAATGAACCACTGAGCTGCTCTGAGCAACTTAACAGACTGTCACTGACTTTATGATCTCTAATAGCGATTACACTGGGCTTTTATTTAAACCTATATCTGTGTTTTACAGCCATTTATCTATGTTTATGGTTCTTATTTGGCACTGGACCAGGAGAACAGCATGTAGTTTTTTATGTAAATCACAAATACACAAGAAATGGCACTAAATTAGTCTTAAATCTTGAATTTTTATGTAGCTTCCATTTGTAATATTTCATTTTCATGTATCACATATTACCTCACTATAATAGCCAGCAATACTTTTTTAATTTTTTTTTTAAAAAACAGACTTAATAGACAATCAAACTGTTTATGTGTATGCATATATATATATATATATATTTGCACTATTAGACACTTTGATTTATTCATTTTGCTTATTCCTATCTATCTATCTATCTATCTATCTATCTATCTATCTATCTATCTATCTATCTATCTATCTATTTCTAATTTCCTTCGGTTAATTAAAGTTTTATCTCGTCGTACACGTTGCTGTTTGCATCAACTCCACTTTATTTTGGTGACATTTCATCCCGTTAGCTGCGACATTCAGCTGGTTGTAATCTGCAGCTTCACCACTAGGTGTTGGTAAATCCCACAAACGGCTCATTTAAAAAATGCTGACCTTAAATTACTTCATTATTTATGTTATAAAACAGACACGAAACTACTTATTAGACCTTATTTGAAAAGGCTGAAACCAAAATATGTTTTCATTTAATAAACTAACACTATGAACCCTATGAGGCTAATTTCAGGGTAATTTCTTTACTCTTAAGCTCTTATTTCGTTCACTTTAAACACCAGTCATACATGTTGAACCTTGTTTTTCTCAAAATAGTCTGGTCTATGCACAGCTTTAATCATCTGACATGATAATACTTCAAGATTTCTTTTTTTTTAAGAAAAAATCTTCTTATTTAGATGTTATGTTTCTACATATATCGCACTGTAAAAGGATTGTTTTGAATCTGGAAATAACCAAAAAATGGAAATAAATGTAATTATTTTATATATTTCCTGCAGTGTTCACATGTTGTAGTCGAACCGCAGAAGTGAGAAGCAACAAAAACAAAAACAAAATGACAGATTTGTTTGGGTTTGTGGGAAATACTGGAGATAATCTATGCACACATGTCACTAAAATGTATAATTATGATGTATGATTAGTCGTTTTGGGACATTTTAATGCAGAAATGTGATATATTGTAGCTTCAACATGCTTAAGTTTATCTGTTATTTTGTTAGACAGCTAACAATAAAGTTGCTGGGCTATTTTGAAAAAGTAGCATTTTGATGCCAATCCATTCAATAATTATTCAAATGTTTAACTCCCAACCATCTAAATTTTGTCCTTTACATCCTTCTCATCATAGAAAAGCTTCAGTTCTGTTTAAATTAAACAACATATATGTGGATTTACATGATTAGCTTGTGTTTATGAAGCCGCATGTTGATGTTTCCTGTTAGAAACCAACATAAGAAACTTTAAACTGTCTACCGTTGATGTCGTATCCGCTGCCGGAGCTTCTCTCCCCAAAGCAGAGACGGTGAGTTTCACCGAAGGAGTCGACGTCTGGAGACGGACAAAAAAACAAAACACAGACAAATAAAAACAGGGTAAACAGACGAGTCTCGCACATGATTGACCAAAACGATGTCAGCAGCTTCATTTAACTGATTAAAGAATGTCACCAATCAGATAATCTACACCCAGATACAAGTAAAAATCGGAATTAAATGAACGATTAATAAATTAAAGTTAGAGTGTTTTGTACATGTAAACCAAAATAGTACCAACATTAATGTATTTCAGATTTGACTTTGTACAATAAAAAAAAATACTTTAAGAAATTCCTGAGGGGAAATTTGGTTGTTGCAGCAAAAAGTGTAAAGTTACCTCCACCATAAATACTGATAAACAAGCAAAAAATATGCAGCAAATAAAGACAAACAATAAGAAAATGTTAAATGCAAAATAAGTGTAATAGATACTCTAAGTAAGAATGTACTGTGTGATAAACTCTAAATAAAGCTGTACTATGTACGACATTTGTTCGTTGTATGATGTAAGAGGTGCTATAAAATCTAAGATGTACTATATTATGAAACAAAAGGTGGTCATAATGGGGATTCTTCTCCCATAGGATTATTCGGCGAATGTTAAAGTTTTGATGCTGAAAACGACGCCTCATCTTATAATACATATTATATATTATATATAATATAAGACCAGAGGACTCCATCATATTTATTTTCTATTTTCCAGTAACTTCAGGTATCCGTCTGTCACCTTTCTCTCGTGTCCCTCCGGTGAGTCGGACAGGAAGCTGGCGTTGACGTCCTCCAGGTCTGACCCGCTAGAGCTGACGGAGGTGACGCTGAGGGCGTCGCCGCTGTCCCCCCCGCCGCCGCCGCCGCCGCCACTGCCACTGCCTTGGTACGGCCGGTAGTGCGAGTGGTCGAAGGACTTGGAGTGAGAGCCGGCGGCGCTGCTGGACCCGGCCTCTGTCAGCTGCCGGCTGGACGAGAAAAAAACAAAGGAGGCAGAGTTTTTACACGACCAGCGGTGTGAGAGAAACTCTGACTGTAACACCTGGACACATGAGGACACAGTTCAGACGGTGGACACTCACTCGCTCCAGCGCTTCATGATTCCTCCGTTCTTCTTGGCTCTGAGCGTGTTGCTGGCCGACTCCGACAGCGGCTCGATCTCACAGGACAGATTGTAGCTGCAGGAACAAACAAGAGTTTAATCGGAACTCATCTCAAGGATAAAACAGTAGAACACAGTTAATCAAACACTGATTTATTTTCACTATTAAACTGTTAATTGTTTATTGTTTGCTTGATTTGCTCTCATCTAAATAAATTCTTACAATCACCAGAGGGAAGAGCTCCACATCAACAGTCTTCCAGGGTTGTTCAAATATTTCTAGTCAAAGCGACCCTGTTTTAGATTTTGGCGTCATAACAACTCATAACATACTGAAGGCAAGAAGACTTTTTTACGTTCGCTTATTTGTCTCCAGGGCGAGACTAGACTCAGACGAGATGGTGGATTGAAAGATGAGCGACCGAGACTGACCTTTCTGCCTCGCTGAGCTTCTCCACGCCGGCGAACCACTCTCTGAAGTGGCTGTCCTGAGTGAAACTGTAGTTGTTGGAGGCCAACTGGAGCAGCTTGATCTGAGCGATCACCTCGAACTCCTGCAGGCGGAAGAGGAGTGAAATCGTCTTTAAACCGTCTGCTCCAAGACGAAACGCAACCTCCGTGATGATTTAGAATCTTTTTCAAGCAAACAAGAATTTCCAACTCACCTTTCTTCTCTTCTCGAAGTTGATCAGACCACCCTGAAAAACAGGAGATTTAAAAACATTAGACGGGTTAAAAAACAAACACATTGGCAATCAAAGATCAAGGATGCGGTGTAGGACCTCAGTGTAGTCCTTCATGGCAGTGTCCATCATCACCAGGTCCGTCAGGAAGGTTCCCAGATAAGGAATTGTCCCCTGCATCACTCCCTGTTCACAGAGGGGCAATAAGGCACTTTTTTAAAATGTCAAAAACACTTTTTTCAGGGCAGAATTATCCACCTCTGCCACTGTACTCTTATTTATGAAAATGACAGACCCAGATCTCAAACTAGGAAACCCCCCAGAATTTTTTTTGTGAAAGAAAAACTGCATGAAAAGTAGAAGTTGAACATTTCTTTGAAATCCTGCAACTTTTCCTGCTGAAATGCTTCAAAGACCTGACTTTAAGATAGCGTGTTTTGGCTGCTCTGGAGCAGAATACAAAAGAAATAAAAAGAAAAATTGATGCCATTTTTGCAAAGAACATGCCACTGAACAAAGGAAAGTCAGAAAGATAGAACTGGGGTGAATGCGGGCGCAGTTGTGGATTTAATGGGGCTAAGCTAGAGATCCAAAGAAAGGCAGGTTAAAATCAAAAATGGCCGACGAGTCACATTAGATTCTTAAAATAACAGTCAAAACACATTTTAACAGGAGTTTAACACAAACTAAGCTGCTCTCGACACTGAAATCTGACAACAAGTTTCAAAAAATGCCAACATTTCTCCATTTTTGTCAAATAAGCAAAGCACACGGTGTAATTGTTGTGATTATTTAGCCACTAGATGGAGCTGTCGGCACAAAATTGACACTGCTAAGATCTAACTCTTCTTATGCCATCTGGTCTCACCAGGTCTCTCTGCTGCTGGTGTCTCCTCTGAGCTCGTTTGGGGTTGATTTCCAAAGTCGCAAACTTCGAGGTTCCCTCCTGCAGGAAAACACAAGAGTTTCCGGTAAATACGTGAAGAAAATGAAACCCGTGAGGCCTGAAATATTCAGTAGTTAGCACAGCGATAGAGATGGTTTGTTAAATGCGCTATAATGGAAACAAAAAGGTGAACATTAGGTGAATCAGAGCAGAACACGTCATACATTTAGGTGGGTACATCGCAATATTTTAGATAAATTCTGACGATAACAGCAACTATGAAGGATCATTACACGAATTCAGGTTAAATTTCTTTGCTTTCTACAGACAAAGAAATCAGGAGGTAACCTTGGAAAGTCAGTTTGACATTTTAACCCAACACAAACCATACAACTGGACAGATTTTGAGTTTTTTTAAATTCAGCATTTGGAGATTTGAGGAAGCTCCTCTTTAACCACAGAACATTTTCGTTGGCTAGATGGAGTTTCCCTTTAAAAACTGTTGCTTTCTAAACACAGTTTGGCCGTTCTAACATGTGCAGGGATTCCAGACTTTGTGGTTATCAAGCAGGAAGCTCCTTTAACGGCTAAAAAAGCTTCATATTTTTCACTTTCTTCACACTTTCTGGGGTCAAGAAAGTGCACCAAAGCAGCTGTTTGACCGAGCAGCTTCCCTTCAGAGCACTTTTCCTCGTCGCCTTCTGGGTAACCTCAGAGAAGAAGTGGTAGTAAATCCCCCTCCTCCTCTTGCACATTCCTGTGCGTGACGTAATGCTGAGAGGCCTCCGCAGAACCGAGAAACTGAAGCCGACCGAGTGCAGCGAAGGCAGCGGCCTGGACGGAGCAGATAGGGCGAAGACGGGGCGACGCCCAGAGCTCCGAGAACTTTTAGGCTTCCATCGAGTCGGAGGTGTTATCTCCAACCTGCCGAAGGTTTCCTCCCCGCGACGTCAGCAGGGATTCCCTCAGAGGAGGCCCAGGGCGTTCACCGGCTGTTACATCAGAAAACTGCTCGCCACCTTTATTTAGCCTCAACGTAACAGTGCGATAAGTTTGAGAGCAACAAGTTAAAGCTCCAAGTTGGGTAATAATCCATGTTCTTATATCCCAAAATCAACAACAAAGACTTATATTATGGATTCCTCGCTGCCATGGAGATTCATTGTTGTCCAAACCTATACAACGACTCAGCCTGGTTCCACAAATCAAATGTGGATCAATCATCTGGTAAACTAATCCCCTTCTGTTTGAGTGGCATTCAATAACACCTCCACTGCCCAGCTGTTTTGTGAAACTTCTGATGAGAAATCAATCTGTTCTTCTCACTAAAAATGGGCTTATCTAGTCATTTAAATCCAACATGATCACGAAACAGTCGCACTCAATGGGTTAACACGAGGACTTTCACACCGCACCCCCTCAATACCTCCTTGTCTTCTTCAACAGCATGTCGCACTGACGCTGTCAATTCTGAGGCTTCATACTTCATTAAAAAAACACTGCTAGGCCAACATGAAAGTGGTCACTATTCATTTTAATTCCTAACAGTATGATCTGCTGACAAGAAGTTCCAAGTCTCTGATTTAAAATTAGCCTTTAAAGTAGTTTCCTTGTGCGGCTAAACACTGCTCCCAGTGCTCCTGCAACACTCTCAAAGCTCCCTCCAAGTCCAATTCTAACCATTATAGAAAAATATTTGCAATTTTACCGTGGACGTCAAACATGTGCGACCTTAGATGGGTTTGTGACTATGATCCAGACATCAAACAGCATTTTCCATGGCTGAAGAAGGTGCGTCAAGTCAATAGCGTCACCACGAGCATGTTCATCATTTTCTTTTGCATTTATGCATTTGCACAGCTTGAATCCATCTCTAAGGATCGGACTGGAAACGCCGAATCCCACTCAAAAGCCCTAAAGGCGTCCAAGGGAGAACGTTTGATGCAACGCAACTGTCGCTCTTTGCCAGATTTGGCTCCGTACGACTTCCCCAAAATGAAATTGAAGTCTTGCTGTTTTGACACAGTTTAGGAGATTCAAGGCTCATCACAGATAGCGACAAACACACTAACAGAACTTGTGACTCCAACTGTGTCTCGTAACAGGACTTAGGAGGCGCTACAAGTGTTGCAGGAGCACTGGGAGCACTGTTTAGCTGCACAGGGGATGCTGGCCAACGTACTTGAGTTTTTTTTGTTTGTTTTGTTTTGTTTTTTACAAAGACTGGGAGCTTCTTGATTGCACTTTGTATTCTTTGTCCTTCTTCTATTTTGAACTGCTGACAACTTTAACACCTTTGCCTTTTTTACTGTTAACATTTTGACTTGATTTACAGCACCAGAAGCCTGTTTTTATTCCAATTTTATAAAAGATTTGTAATAGCGACAAGGATTGGAAGTAAGATTTTTGGAAATTAAACCTAAAAAAGAATCGTGTCTGTTTGTTCAGTCGTGTTCCTCTACGTACCAGCCCTGCCGTCCTTGTGCCGAGTGCATCAGGTGTCAACACCTCTCTGCATTTAGGCCAATAAATCAGATTAATGATGACAGCAGTCTGTCAGCTGCAGAGTCCACCCAGGACTCCGTGAGGACACCGTGATCCAGCAGAACCTGCAGGATGTTTCTCTGGATCGTCCTCTGCAGCTGTTTTTCAGACAGATGTGAGGAAGGGCAGCGGTGGGAAGAGGCGACCGAGGCGAACATCCTGCTGCAGGCGTTACATAACTCCCACTGAGAGATTGATTAGTCGGTCTGATTAACACGAGGCTGATTAGAGGCAAACACTTAGTTAAGGTGCGTCTCTGTCAGGGAACAAACTCTCCTCGCTGCTCTAATTCAGTTTGTTCTCATCGAGAGGCTGTCGTTAGTTTTAGGAATAGATAAAACAACAATATTAAATGACCACTTGGTGATATTGATGTAATCAAATAATAATTTAAATAATGAAAAATTAATTCTTCAATTAATCACCTTACTGTTTGGCTTACAACGTTCAGAAAATTGTAAAATGTCCATCACAGTTTGTAGACAACAGTCTGACTTTGATTTAATTATTAAATTAAATACAACAAAATTAGACTAATGTTGTAAAGGACTTAAGTAGCTGCCAACTATTTACTTGGAATACTTTATATATTTTTTAAATAACATTTTATTTCATTTTTTTTTTTAAAAAGTATTTCTGATTTATTTTTTAAAATAATATTGAAAGCTGGAATCAGCTGTTTTTTGATATTACGGATTAATTATTTAGTTGAGCAACCAAAAAATCGATTCAAATTGTTTAATTGTGATATTTTAAAACAAATAATATCCATGAGCCTTAAGAGAAACACTTCATTGCGTGAATATGTTGACCGAATAATAGAAACAATCTGAATTACAACAAAGATTTGTAGTGTCTTCATATTACAAAACAAAATATTAACATTAAATTAATGCCCAGAACTAAGAAAATACTCAAAATTCTGTTTTGTGAACCATTTGCAGGGTATTTTTGTGGTTATTTTCACGTCAGACAATTCCATTCTGTTATATTAATGAGCTTTAATGAATGAGTCGTCTTTTTTTTTATTTTAATAAACTAAACTGTGTGTTTACTGTGTGCTGCTGACTCACCTTCACCAGCAGCTCTCGACTGAGGGAGTAGTTGTTGTCGTCGGAGAAGATCTCTGACAGCTCGCGGAACATCCTGAAGCTTTCCCTGCAGGAGGACAGACGTCAGGTGATTAAAAATGTAAAAAAAAAAAAAAACAACTTCATCGATAATACTGAGCAGGCGTAAACCTACCGCGACACCTCCTCCCAGGTCCTCTTCAGGCGGTGGATGGCGTTGCACTGCAGGGCGGACAGGATGGCTCGCAGCGACGAGAAGTTCTTCAGGATCCGACACTCCTGAAGGCAACAAAGACCCGGTCAGAAACCACAACTCCACTCTTTAAACCAGTTCAGGTAAAGCGGGCGTGCTGCTCACCCGCGCCACGTCGATCCACCTCTCCAGCAGCCGGGCCCTCTGGTTGGGCTTCAGCGTCGGGTTGCTCAGGCAGGTGGTGATGACACAGTTGGTGACGGAGTTGAACTGGGCCACGGTGGCTCTGATGGTGGGAGCCAGGTGCTCCTTCCCCTTCTTATCCCGCTGGGACCAGATGCCCCCGAGGCAGTGGTAGGGAACCACCTTCTTAAACAGGTCCTGGGTGCACACACGGATACAGGAAGTTGAAAATGTGTTGGAGCTTCTGTGCACATTTGGACACTAGAAGTCCTGAAGTTTCTGAAAATGTGTCACCTGAAGAAGCAACCTCACCAGGCAATTACACCTTTTATTTTTACATTTTTGCCTTTATTTGATAGTGCAGTAGAGAGAGGAAAGTGGAGAGAAGAATGGGGGAAGGACCTGCGGAAAAGGGCCATGAGTGGGATTGGAACCCATGACCATGTGTCGGGGATTACAGCCTCTGCACATGGGACGCCAGCTCAACCAGGTGAGCTGTAGCGGCGCCCATTACACCTTTTTTTTTAAAATGGAAAAACTGTATTAGATGCAAATTTATAGCAGAATATAACTGTTTTGATAACATATCTGTGATTAGGGAGAGTTTTTAGGACTTCTTGAATGTCTGAACATCCTTGGACTTCAAGAATTCAAAACAAAAAGCACATTGTTCAGGAGGTTTCCAGCATTTTCGAGCTCTCATCACTTCATCCGTACAGCAGACTTGTGATTTTTTCAAGGCTAAAGAAACACACTTGACCTCTGTTAATAACATAACTGTATCAGAAAGTATTTTTTCCACAGAGTAAATCATATCTATTAGATGATCCTGGTATCAAATGTGTTTAAAATGCTCCTCTCATTGTCTAGAACTTGTTCTGACCAACCACCATCACACATGCTGATATGAGCCTGGAAAGTTTACCCAGAATGCACTTTGTAAAGTTTTCTCTGGTGAATGATCAGAAACCAGAAACACATCCAGGGTACCAGTGATTGTTTCTATGAGTCCATGTCATTAAACTGCTGCAGTCTGACTGTTACCACTATGAGACATCCCATAATACAGATGCTTAAAGTCAGAACAAATTAATAAAAGCCAGATTTAGTGTTCAGACTGCGACACCTGGATGGATGTAAAACTGATCTGGTTGCAGTTTAACAGTTTAACTCAAATGTGTTTTTCAGCCCTGAAAATCACACGTCGCTATCTCCTGTATGACAAAAGAAAAAATGATAATTTCTTTAATGAAATAAACATCTAAAAGCTTGTTTTTCATATTACTAAGCTGTCAGGGTGATACCACATTTGTCACTGTGTCTCATACAAAAGCACTTTGCAGCTTTTTTGTGCAACTCTTTCTCTCACATTTTCGGATTTGCAGCCTTAAATAATGAAAAAAAAACACAAGAGCGAATTTGTTGAAAAGTCTTAAATTGCTTAAAAAATACTCCTTTATCTCTACTATTAAATAAAAAAAGCTACGCATTTATCTTCAAATAAATCCCCCCTGATTAGATTTAGCCAAATTAGCATTCAAGCCGTTTATAAAATATAAATCATTGGCTAGTTTTAAAACTGTTTGTTATTTTTAAGAAGTAAGAGTGCTGAGTAAGAATACACAATCCGACTGATGATGCATCATTAGTTATTAAGTGCACCGATGTCTGTTTTCTTAGGAGGATTATGCACTTCTGGTCATGTAAACGTTTGATCTCAACAGCGTCGGAAGCTGCAGAGACGAGACTAAATCTGTCGATGGGGGAAACGTGCTCACCGCGTCCATCAGCGTGAACTGCTCGGCCACCATGATGGGGTCGAACGACAGGAAACTGAAGGCAGGAAGCTCGTCCTCAAAGCCGCTCTCTTCCTGCGTGGCGAAAGGGCAGCCGATGTGTTCCCCTGAAGAGAAGAGAAAAGAAAAACAAACACGTTTTTAACAGCGCTGCCTCCACCTGAGCCTGAACACAGCTCCTGCATCTTCGTCCTCTCTGTGGCCTCGGTGTGTGTTGTAGTTCTGCTAAACAACATCATGTGTCTGCAGCTTCCCTTCCAACATATACAAGCTGTCTACGATCAGACTCTGAGCACTCCCTGCCCTGTGCTCCCTCTCCTGTCCTGCCTTCATACCATCAGGATCAGGCTCACACTGCTGTCGGCGGTGGAAGTGGGCCAGCAGGTTGCGGGCTCGGCGCTCCAGGTCCGAGCCGGGGAAGTGCAGGTGAAGGTAGGACAGCAGCTGGTGCAGACAGTCGTAGTTCGGAGGGCTCCAGAAGTCCTCGGAATACTGGTCCAGCCACGCGCCCAGGATGGACGAGACGGTACTGAAACACACACAGGGGATCATCATCATCAGCTACCGGAGGTTTGTTTGGATCAATATCAGTTATTATTGATCCTCTGAAGCTCAAAACCCATTGTCTCACCAGATTCTGTAAGAACTCATGAGTAACTTGCTGTTTGGTTGGGAAGATAAACCAAATCGTAGCTGAAAACTGTAAAATTGAACCGAGATTACTTTATTTTACATGCAACTATTCTTTTTTTTTTTTTTTTTTTTTAAATAACCGTTCACATCAGATTTTGAAAAAAGAAAAAAAAAAAGGTAAATATATATAATACGCACGCCATTGCACAACTGAGAAGCAATGACTGACTCAACTGTGAGTTTATCGTGTGCGACTCACAGTTTCGTTACTCAAATCTAACCTCGACATTTTCGTCAAAACCTCTTTATTCTACCCGTCTCAATCAAAATTTTTATTAAAATGAACAGTTTGCACTAGATTCTACTAAAAATCTTAATTTCTTGCCAAAAATAGGAAGCTGCTTATTTCTTCAGATACAACATTAAATGAAAATGCAACTTGTCATAGTTAGAAACAACAATTTGGAGAGAGACATATTAAACAATTATAAAAAAACTCTTACATAAGCAGGAAGTATTCAAAGGCAAACTTCAGCATGAAGCTAGAACTTTAGAAACACAATTAACTTCCAAAAAATAAATAAAAAATGCTCAAAGTCAAACTACTTGTGCAATTTTCTTTGGACATTTGTCAACCACCTTACTAAGACTAATGCTACCTACGAGCATTACTTTCAATGGGGCGTGCTAACAATGCTAAACGACAGCTGTAAGTGCTGGTTCCACTGAGCTATGCCAACATGGATGAAATGATAATCTGCTCCATGTGTTGAGCACCTTTAACAAACAATGTAGGAGAAAACGGCTTAAAAAAAAGTGAAGCTAACAATGCTAACAACCCGCCAATGAAAGCTACGGCGGACAGCAAAGGTGTCTCCTCCAGTGATTTATCACGTCTTTATCAGTTCATGAACTGCGTTTTATCAAACTCCAACAGACTCGAGGCCCCCCCTCAGCCTGACAGAAAGACAAACCGGCCGCCACGACTGCCTTAAAGAGTCGACTTCCCTTTAACCCGGGCCGAGAGGCCGAGGGGCGGCGCCGCAAACGTTCTCCTGATTAATGTCGGCAGCTCGACACTGAAGGTCGAAGCGAACTCACTTTCTCAGCTCTGTGCAGTCGTCCTGGGACACTCTGTGTGCTGTGGCTGCAGGCACGTTTTGGAGCTTGGCATACCTGAAAAACAAACCAGGTCAGCGTTAATGACCAAGATAATTTAAAAAAAAGAGATTCTTTCTGACTATAAGAGAAAAAACCAGCCTCTGCTTTGATTTATCTGGTGAGAAAACAGGTTACTTTGTGTAAATGTTGGACATCATGTTTGAAAATGGCAGCAGAAAATCACCGTAAAAATATTAAATAACATAATTTAGTGTTATTTTAGTAATTTTGTTAAATTACAGAAATTAACTCGTAAAATCCTCGAAAAAAGTCATTAATTTACACATTAATAAACAAGCCACAAGTGTAAATTATGTCCACATAAATAATCTATATTTTACTTCATTTCATTAGTGATTTTTTCAACCTTATAGTACATTTTACAGTATTTAAATCAGCAAAAATATAATTTACTGCATAGATGTGAGTTATTATTTGAAAGAAAAAATATCTATATAATGCACTAAAAATGGCAATTTATTTTTTAAACAGTTATTTTAAAGATTAAGGTATTAACTTACATGTTAACTGTTAAATAAAAATAACAGGTCAAAACTATAAATAACATCTACATCAAATAATATCATAGGTTATACGACATTTTATGACAGTTTAACTGCATTCAGAACGGCAGCATTCAAATATCCTGATGCAGATAATTATACAGATGATTTTTGTTTATTTTTATTTTATTTACTTTGCATTGTTTGTCTTTTTCTTTTTCACCAATTTACAAATTACTTAATTATTAACTTTTTTATTTTATTTATTTCCAGTTACTATTATTTTACTTGTCACTTTCAGCCCTGTCTTTATGGTGTTAGCGTCCATTTTCTTTCATTCCACTTCCAGTTCTTTTTTATTTTTTTGTGGCCGTTGCTGTATTGATTTATTTTGTAAATCTTTTACCATATTAACTCTATTTCTCCACTTTTGCCTCTCTGTTTTTGTTCCTTCTGTTTGGACTGACTGTCCTTCTGTTCAGTGGCCTTTCTGAGTATATTTATTTAGTTTTTGCACTGTCTGTGAAGCACTTTGCAAACTAAAGTTGTTATTGTTGTTATACTATTTTCTGGCACGCTTGCTGCCAGATTTTCACAGTTTTTTCAATGGAATGTTTATGTACAGTGCGTACTTTGGACTACTCTACCCATATAGAAGATAAATGTATATAGCAGGACATCATTCCTAATGGCAGACGTACCACTAATCTGTAAAAAGGTAAAAAGTACAATAATTCCAAGTGAAATGCAGCGTACATTAAGTAAAAAATACTTCAGTTCTTATGTTCACCACTGCTAAAGTCTGATTTTTCTGTCTATGTTGGGCGTTGAAGAGCCAACAGGTGAGTCCGTGGCCACCGTACCTGTTGAGCAGGAGATCCAGCACCTGCTTGGTGGAGGCGAAGGACCGGTAGGTGCAGAGGAAGATGGTGACGTAGGTGGAGTCTTTGCCCCTGAAGGCCGACACCATGTACTCCACCAGCCTCTCCAGAGTGCCGGCCTTGATGGTTCGCACCTTGCAGGTCTCGTAGAGGCTCAGGGCCGAGTCCGTGTCCACGCCCAGCCATCGCTGCCCCTTACTGGCCGACTGGTGGAGCTGCACCTTCCTCAGCGTGATGGTGAAGATGGCGTCCTCCTCGGCCTCCTCGCCGATCTCCTGCGTCGAGCTCTGCAAGACAGAAGAGAAGGATTGTGAGAATTTTTCGTCCAAATAACCACTTCAGTCTGTCTAAAAGGACGAGTTGGCATAGCAGGACAAGGTTGTGATGTTAGCAGCTAACCTACAGGAACCTACTGTCGACAATGTCTGGGATGACCGACAGGATGTAAAACTCCAAAGAGAGGACAAAACACACTCATTACTGATCTGGAAACACTGGTATGCTCTTATTATTTGATATATTTGCTAAACATCAAACTACAATCACACACTGGGGCTCATAAACAACAAAAGCCGCCACAATGCGGAGCTTTCTTCACAGCCATACAGCAGGACCTCTGTACAGAAGAGGCTTCACAGCTGCTGCCTACTTCAGGTTCATGCTGGTGGTCTTTTCGTGCCGCAACAAACGCTTCAAACATCTATTTTAGTGCAGATTAGAGGGAGTCTGAAGATGGAGAAAAGATGCCGCCGTCACCCTGCAGAAGCTAAAAACGTCAAAAGACAAGTCGAACCCTTTAATTATGACCATCTGCGATCGGCTCGGCTCTCTTCGGTCGGCCTCCCTCTGAGTCACACTTTGTGAATCATGTGCACAAACAAACAAAGGCTTGTTACTAAACAGAGCTTGCTGGATAACGGCAACGACAATACAAGCTGCAGCCTGAATATCCCCAAACAGGGAATTAACACAAGCCGCTTGTGTCGTGAATGAGAGCTGCATGTCGCCATCGCGGCTTTGTGTTGTTGTTTTCTCCCGAACGTTTGCAAACAAACCGCAGGAGAACGCTCTGATGTCGACAGAGGCGGTTCCATTCATCACCTCGGCACGTTATTGTTTCATCGTGTGTGGATCCTGCATGATCACGGTTACACAACGGAAAACAATCAAAGCATTACGACACTGAGCTCCGGTTCAAAGTCGGCTCGTTTAATAATCGGACTAACTTCTGACAGCTTAAGAGTGAAACTGCATCTTTAGCGGTTATTTCCTTTAGAGCACAAAGCTCTACTGAAACTGCCTGCAGTGCAAAGAGGGACTCTAAGTGCTTTACAGGAACTAAAAATAGCATTTCAGGGCAATAATTCCTTCAGAGATTTGAATTGCAGCACAGGGCTTTTTCATGTTTTGCATGCCAAAACGTTAAAATAACAAAAACTAATGTGGCAGCAAATGAAGATGACATAATAGTGAAAAGAGCGGGGCAACAGAAATACTAAATAATGCAGAAATGCATTCCTAACATTATACATATTAGATTTTAAGTTATGAAGGCTGCAAGATGGCTGGATTCCTAAAACAATCTTGTTCAGTGTGACATCATAATTATTTCATAATACAAAATATGCAAAATATTTGCACTACACGTGATGATTTCTCATAGTTTTTAAGAGTCATTTACTTCCACCTTCGTAAAAACGACTGGATGACAACAAAATGTCCATTACAATCATTTTCCACTGTTTGTGTCTCCATATTCTCTGGTTTTAGGGCACCAACTGTTTACTTTGAGGTGTTTAACTTCTAATATTCAACTTTAAAACGGATGAATTCAGCAAGATCTAAGAGCCCAATAAGTCGGAGGAGGCGATTTGTTGGATTTGCAGCAAAAAGGTAGCGTTCAAAAACCGCTATTCCTACTAAAAAGCACAGCTGCAGCATTAATTCCAATTATTTGTGTGACAATTAAGCGTCAACTAAAATTTCATGGTCAAAAAACCAAGTGAACATCAGTGCAAGAAAGCTGAAACATGGCTCCTGTGATCAATTTGTTTGTTGTGAATTTGGCTGCAGTTTTGTGCAAAGATGCGACTGAGACGCACACTTCTGGAAACGATGGAAGCAGCTCGACGGTAATTACAATCAGGAGTGCGAATATAACTCAACTGGGATCACACAGCACAGTATGTGAAGACTAAATCACTGCTGCAAACCTCACACCACCAATTCTCCTGAAAACAAGTGAAAATACACATAATTGAAAAGCTAAACCAGTGATCACAGCCTACGAACATGAACATCTGCTCTGAGCATCACTTCTATTGTTGTATATGTGAATATTTCTGACTGCTTTTAAACTAACCGAATGTTCAATTATGCATTTGAAATCAGTACTAACATGAAAAAAGGTACAAAAGGACACAACACAGAAGAGCCATCAGCCCAAACATGTGACTCTAAACATGAGACTGAGCTAGTCTGTGTGGAGGTCAGTGATACTGTCGTATTGATTTTAGAGGCCTTGTTCTCTGTGTTTAGGGCTCATATCAGCATAAAGGCATCAAAAGCACATTTTTTGTATGTTCTTTGAGCCAAATTTGTGACTATAAGTGACACAAAATAAAGCTCACTTCACTGAAATTGGCTTCTTTTCAGAAGAAATTGGAAAATAAACGTTGTCTAGCATTAAAAACGAGGTGTAATTTCTCATTTTTCCAACACAGAGGGCTGTGTTGATGCTCCACAACCCAACACTAGCAGCTAAATAAAGCCCAGCAGATGCCTGCTATTGCTGTGAAACACTTTGAAGCAATAAATAACCCATTTTGTTTGCAACAGCACGTGTATGTAACAGCAGCTTTGGAGTAAAATGACCCGCGCTGAACATATCTAGCCTAAATAACAGAGGAGTGAATCACCGAGGCCTCAGCGGAGGAATGTAACGCCACAGTCATCTGTCACGGCCGCTCAGTGTGCATCCTGGGAGCATTACTCATCACGTCCAGGCCTCGTCGCCACTTCCTGCTTCAACGACGGCTTTTTTTGGTCTCCGTCCACGCCCTCCGTTGGGCGTTTGTTACCACGGAAACAAGCTCGAATGAGGATGGATTCAGAGAACTGGTGCATTGAGCGGAGCGGCGACGTCACGTCGGGTTCACGTATCGATTTAAACCAAAGATATGAATTAAAACGGACGAATAAAGACGCTACAAGGCTCAGCATCTTTAAAATCAGCAGATCGAAACAGTAAACCAGCACAACAGACACTGTAATGGGGCTCAGTCTGAAAAGATTCTGTGACTTATCACATTTCAGCTGCATTTAACATGGATTTGGCTTTTTAAGAACATGATGAACTGTTTCCAATGACTTTTATCAAATACATTTTGCTGAATTTGGACTGTTTTCTGAGCATTTCTCACTTTTAAACTAGTGGACTTGTGTAAATTCAAGCTACCATTTAATTCACAGGAAAATCAGCTGTTTTTGAAAGAGTAATTTTACATTTTGTACCAAGAAACTAAAAGAAATTCAACTCGTTTACCAAAGATAAGCATCTACGGTGGTTGCACTGATGCATTTATAGACATATTTATGTGTGTTTGCCCAAATTTGTGCACACAACGGTGAAGATTTGATGATCTTCTTTGTTCTATAGTCAAAGGATTTAGAGGCTTTATGGTCAAATAATAATAAAGACGTTATCAAAGCAATAAAGTTCTCCTTTTTTCCACTACTTACCAACTTTTTACAGATAAAACAAAGCTAAACTGCAGACCTCAATGGTGCAAAACTGACATTTTTCACGATTACATCTGGCATTTTATGCAACTATTTGTTCACATTAATGAAAACACAATCATCAGCTGCAGCCCTGTTTTAGTTGCAGTTGTCTTTATGCCTTAACAACCAACCTACACCAGATAAATCTCAAAACACAATAGATTATGTAATAGAAGGAGGAGAAGGATGCTCCACATACATAAAAACCAACGACACAACAATGCGTTTTGAATATCTCTGGGGTTTGGAGTGCTGGTCGGACAAACCGATGAATGCAACTGCATGTTTTGTCACCACAGGAACTTACAGAAGGCTTTTTTCACTACTTACTGAAGTATTTTTGTAGAAAAAAAGATGCAAAACTGTCAACCTAAACTTAAGATTTCACCCTAAACTGTGACAAATCTTGAACTTTTTTCCCATTGTTGCATCTAGCGTTCTATACAGACCCATACATGAACCTTTACCATCTAAAACAAACATTTACGTGCATATTGCAGAAGCAGCTGTATTTTGCTTGTGCAAACAGATAAAAATGTTTTCCCAACACTTTAACTGTTTGTTGAGCTGTGAGACAGAAGTGGGAATAAAAGGACGGTTTAAGCATCTGTATTGTCGACCTGAAGGTAAACATTAAACTGGTGAGGGCTCCTTCAGGATCCTCCCTCCATGTCTTTTTTTAATAGATGGCGTTGAAGGATTAAATGCTGCAGATAGTCATCAGCTGCAGCTCTGTTTTATATCAGAACAACCAACCTCCTGAAGATAAATCCCAAAACACAAGAAGGCCAAACTGTTCCAACAATAAATGCTCTTAATCTCGAGCAAAAGACAAACTGAGCGAAACAGACGCTGGAGATTCTCCCAACAAGACGGCGGTGAGTCACGTACGCAGAATTCCTCAGCGTTGGGAGGACGTATGTGACAGATAAATGTGGGGGGAAACAAACCCCTGGTCGGCTGTAAATAACGTCCTGCGCGGCGGCCGGAGCGCAGCTGCAGCCGAGGGCCTTGACAGCAGGACGGGAGCTTATCAGCCAAAACCACAGAGGCAGAGCCGCTATCGTTCCGAGCCCCGAGAAACGCAGCAGCGCTCAAGGGCAGCGGCTCGCTGCGTCCGGCGAGTCGATTCCCAGAATAAAGCTCCTATTCATGCCTCCTCGGCCGAGCGTTGCCATGAAAACCGAACCCCGTGTACCACTTGAAACGCACAGCGATCAATATGTTTTTTTAAAAAAGAAGCCTTCAGCGCGGCTATAACTGAACATTCACGCCGGAGTTTAAATAATAAAACAAAGGACAAGATATTATTTCAGTTAAAGAAGAGCTTTTGCTTTTGTTGGTCGCTTCAAATCTCACAAATGTAAATTACACCTGCAGCTGGTAAAAACACTGCACTGGTTTTTCTCTGCTACCTTTTATTTATTTTCAATTACACAGTTTAGATGCATCCTAAATAAATACAATATGTGATACGTGTGTCCACATTTTTGCACACAACTAT